ATTGTAAATTTTTTACCACAAAAACCCACGGGTACCCATGAACCCGCGGATACCCAGCGGGTTGGGTTGGGTTTGAGTTTTTCAAACCCAACGGGTTTTACCCCGGGTTTTTTTGGCGGATAAACCCATGGGTTTGGGTTTGGGTTTGAAAAAACCCGCCCCAACCCGACCCATTGCCATCCCTAACCGCAATGCTTTCTCGTGCTGCCCAAATTAGTCAATTCGGTCGACCGCCTTTAGGATTAGGTCGACCGAAAAGTCCATGTCACCACAGCAAAATCCAAACTTTTATGGATATGGATGCCGCCATATAAATGGGCCGATTTCTTCTTGGGGAATTTATATGGGCCTATTAAATCAATGAACAATGTCTTTGATTTTTTTTTTTTTGTGAAAACAGTGTCTTATATAGTCTAGGTAGACTGTACCCTCCGGCAACCAGATAGTCGGCGTCGGAGTTCCTAATTGTCATTATTCGCAAGTTATTAATAATTATAAGAAAAATGCAAGAACAAGAAAACAGAGAACGAGAAATCTCCCATAAAAAAAAAAGAACGAGAAATCTGCGGTGGCCGCCGCGCTAAGAAGGATGCGGTGGACGAGAAGAGCCGGCGGATGGGCGGTCGTCGGCGCGCGTTGAAGAGCAGCCACTTCTGCTGCCGCGGTTGGAGGGAGTATCTGTATAAGTGATGGAGGGCGGTGTTGTTTTCCCGGGAGTAGCATAGGCTGGGTATAATTAATTGAGAATTGGGTTTTGAGGGGATGCTAAAATTGTCATGGAGTGGCAGGTGTGTCGGATCTGGCGAATCCGGATAAAACAAAAAATCCAAACGTCCAGCGATGCAGAGCACAGCATCATCAGGCAGCAGAGTAGTTTACATTTGTAGGATTTTCACTCAAATCATAAAAAAGGGATGGATTGGATTCACTTTCGTTGCGTAAACTGTCATTTCCAGCAACCTCCCAAGCGACGATTCTGTGGAGCCACAAAACCATCTTCACATTTTGTCTCTCTTCTTCTTCTTCTTCTTCCTTCTGGTGAACCGAGTGGGAGCTTGGAAAAAGAAAAGTTGTTCAAGTAAATGGCTTCAAAGGAAGGTCGGAATATGAGAGACCCGCTGATTCAAAAGAGCAGCCGCAAGAATGAGAGCTTGTGGATGGTTTACCTCAGCACTTTCGTTGCTGTTTGTGGGTCTTACGTTTTCGGATGCGGCGTGAGTTTTCATTCATTTGATTTCTTGTTTACATGCATGGTTCTTGATCCTATGGCGGGGAAGGGTCGAATGTGGATATTTTATTTTAATTTTCTCATTCAAGCTTGCATCATTTTCTTATCCCTTTTGGATGCAGCAAGTTGTTACTAGCATTACCAAAATGTTTGAATAGTTGTCATGCCAATGGTGATTTGATTCTCTTTTTCTGTGTTTTTGTTTGTTGTCTTGGTGTGGGTCGCAGGTGGGATTCTCATCTCCAACCCAAGATGCAATCAGGGAAGATCTGTCTCTGTCTCTGGCCGAGGTATGAATATCCTATTATTTCCTTGAAGGGTTCTTCATTTAAGTTGGATAATGATAGTGACCCATTTTTCCCCGTTTCCCAAACCAGCTTCCAGGTTGTGATTTCTTGTAGTACTGAATTCAGACTAATGTTGAAATATTTGCAGTATTCGGTGTTTGGTTCAATTCTGACATTTGGGGCAATGATCGGTGCCATTACTAGCGGTCCTTTGTCTGATCTACTTGGCCGAAAAGGGGTAATTTCACCATCAAACCCACTCATGCTCGCAAAAGTAGAAATCATACTTCATTTCTTCCGGGTGTTCATAGAGGGCATATTTCCTCACATTTGCAGGCGATGAGACTGTCGAGTGCCATCTGCGCTGCAGGCTGGCTTGCCATTTACTTAGCTAAGGTGCGCGCTTCTCCCCATTATTCAGTCTTGTGAGGATCGATCATCATTAGGATCTTGTCTGAAATCATTAATTTTCTCTGTTTCTTTGGTTTGGACATCCAAAAGGGTGCAGAGGCATTGGACATTGGCAGATTGGCAACTGGCTATGGGATGGGAGTCTTCTCATACGTGGTACATTTCCAGCTTTGCCATGAATGTGAAAAGAAATTGCTATACAGACCATTTCCATTTCAAGTTTTGAATGACGACGATGATGATGTAATTTGAGCGATCAGGTGCCTGTTTTCATATCCGAAATTGCGCCCAAGAATCTTCGAGGGGCTTTAGCTACATTGAATCAGGTTATGATATGCGGTGGGGCATCAGTATCCTTCATTATTGGCACATTTCTATCATGGAGGGCTCTTGCTTTAACAGGTAAATTGAAGAAGAAAAAATAACAATAGAAAAGTCTCAACTCTACATTTTTATACATATGCCTAAATCTATTTTGAGGAATTGGGATTTCATCTTCTCATGAATCATGCTTGTGGTCATTGCAGGACTTGTCCCTTGTGCAATTCTACTTTTTGGGCTGCATCTCATCCCAGAATCTCCCAGATGGCTGGTACCTTAAATTATGTCCTCAAAGATTTTAGAATCTAAGGGAGCTGATTTTGAATCTTGTTCACAAGGTTGTCTGCTGTTCATATTTTTTGCAGGCAAAGACAGGTCATGAGAAGGATTTTGAGGTCGCATTGCAGAAACTTCGTGGCAATGATGCTGACATTTCAGAGGAGGCAGCGGAGATTAAGGTTTGTTAATTGTTATGCTACCCTGAAGAATAATCATCAAATGAACCTCGTATAGTAAATGTGGATAGTTAAATGGCATAATGAGAAATCTACTACCTAGTTAATATTGCATACTACTCTCACAGGAATATATTGAGACGCTAGACCGGCTTCCGAAAGTGAAGTTGTTGGACTTGTTCCAGAGAAGATACCTACGATCAGTCATTGTGTGCCCTCTTGTTCCTATACTATTCAATATCAGTAGCAAGCTTTGATTGTTCTGTGATATTAAATTGATGCATTTTGTTTTTGTTTTTTCGTTTGTGTATGATTTGTGTTGGGGCATGGCAGATTGGTGTTGGGTTGATGGTGGTCCAACAGTTTGGAGGAATTAATGGAGTGGCCTTTTATGCGAGCAATATTTTCAAGTCTGCAGGTACGTACGAATATGAACTTGAGTTTTAAGTGTTGGAAATTGGCCACAATGGTACTTTGTCATTGTTAAATTTGTTGGAATGTCTTTGTATCAGGAGTATCCCCCAGTGTTGGAACCATTACCTACGCCATTCTTCAGGTGTAGTGACCCTGACCAACCCTCAAAGGAATCTCGAATAAGTAGTCATGATTCGAACATCTCGCGGTGCTTGAACACATCTCACATGATCGTTTCCTCTGTTGTGTGTTGGGGCAGGTTGTAGTGACACTCTTAATTACACAAGTGATAGACAGAGCAGGAAGGAAGCCTCTTTTATTGGTAAAGATAAAACCACAACATATTGTCACTTGGCCCCTACTTTTACATCTAGACAATCCCAACTCATATTCTTCTTCTTAATCTTCTTTCGAGCAGGTTGCTGGGTCTGGTTTGGTGCTAGCCTGCATGATCATAGGCCTTTCTTTCTACCTCAAGGTCTTCACCAAAATAGAGTCCATAAGCTTGTGTCTCTCTCCATGAGTATGGAATGCCTTGTTTCTTATTTCTGGTTTTGTTTTTGTTTGCTATGTGAAATAGGTCAATGAATTGGCAATCGAATTCGTCCCCCTGCTGGCTGTAACTGGCATATTGGTAACCCAGACATAAACTCGACATCTAACTTGCACAATCTCACCCCTTTAGTGGAAACCAAAGAAGGTAGAAGGTTGTGGTCTAACAGTGTCTTCTTTGTTTTGTGTTGTAGTTATATATCGGATCTTTTTCAGCAGGGATGGGTGCTGTTCCTTGGGTGATAATGTCCGAGGTAACTGATATGATATTTACTTGGAAGAGAGAGAGCAGTAAAGTAGTATCATAGGATTCTTGAATCCTTTAACTGGACTGATTTGCTTCTTGGTTTGTTTGGTGTATTAGATATTCCCAGTGAACATCAAAGGGATAGCTGGAGGTTTTGCAACGCTAGTAAACTGGTTTGGCGCGTGGTCAGTATCGTACACCTTCAACTTCCTCATGTCTTGGAGCTCCTACGGTAAGATGACTGAATACTGATGGTAGTTAAGATCGAGTTTGGAGGGTGATTGATTGACTGATGAAATTTTGTGTTCGCCGGGGTGAGGAATTGCAGGTACATTTCTTGTTTATGCTGCAGTCAACGCACTAGGCATAGTGTTTGTACTGAAGGTCGTACCAGAAACTAAAGGCAGAACCTTGGAGCAGATACAAGCAGCCATTAATGGTTAGAGTAAAGCTGGAAGAGCTTGTTTTTGTGAGCTCTGGCTGGCAGGGAGCTGAAAAGGGAAATCAACTGATAGGTGAAATAGGATATCGGTTAATGGCATATCGCTACTTCAATATTCTTTTTTTGCCAAATTAGTTTGTTCTTTCTCTTCGCTTCACTTTTGTTCTCAATTTCCCAAGTTGTTCTAGAATATATTTAACTAGTGTTTTTTGCCCGCTCATTATTCATTTGTATTTTCTTCTCTTATTTTACAATGGTGTTTGTAACATCCCATCCGAGACGAGCACTACTTTTATCAAAATACCTTTCAAAAATGCATTGAACAATTGCGGAAACATTACACATTAAACAATGCTGAAAACATGAACGCCCTTAAGTCTATTTTAAATACACATAAAGTCTCTTGTGCCATAAAGTAGTGAACTAAAATTCTTTCTTTTGAAGTCTATCAAAGTCATGTGTCTTTGTCACAAACCGTTGAATCCATTTATGTACTTACGTGCTTTTATAATTTCTGAATGCGAGCATTGGAGTCATTTCTAATCCTAATTTTAATCCATATGTAATACATAAAATTCACAAACATACATAATGAGTGCCCATACATTGAAATATATACTTTACTTGTAATTGGTTTACTTGAAAGGCATATTCTTATTACTTTTAAGAAAGAGGGCCTTGAGGCCAATTTAGTTAGCACACCACCATGATCACCAATCTACTTAAACATCAACTTACAGCCCAAACATGGGGTTCGTAACCTCCTTGTTTATCCAGGAGTGAGGTTTGTAAGCTCCTTATTACCCGAACGCAGGAGAAGAAAAGATGATCTCGAGACTCAGCTGCAGAACTACAAAGAGAGCAAAGATTGTGAACAGAAGGGTTTCACCTATGAACTTTATCCAATGTGATGATCCATTGTGAAGGATTAGCCACATTATCAGTTGGTCACGATGAGGACATCCTGATTTGCATACCAAATTGTACCAGGGAACTTGAGCTTGTTTTGGCCTTATGGCTTCCAAACTGTCTTTACAGAATAATTTTCCAATCTCACCACATCACAAAAATCCCCACTAGATCTAACACGAAGATGTCCTGCTGCTATAGCTCTAGTATTAAGAACTTTCCTCCAGGCCCACGAGCAAGAAATAGAAGAGAAAATATACTAAATGGTAGTGTACTGGAGATGGTAGCTTCTAGACCTGACAAATTACGACCCGACCTAAACCCGTCCGAAAAAATATAAGTTTTTATAACCCAAAACCCAAATGACCGGAACCCGAATAACCCGTGATTTTTTGTGTTCGGGTTGGGTGGGTTAGCGGGTCGACCCGTTAGACCCGTTCCATTTCATATGTCACTCTCAAAATGATAAAATCACTCATAAATTGGCGAGATATTTAAAAAATTCACAATGATTTGAAAGACATGTTTGGAGTTTAAGGATAATAAAATATCATGTGTTTCTTATAGTAGTATTACTCTTGTGAGTGATTTTTGATGATTTGTGCAATTTGTATTTCATTCCATTGACATGGGTAGGATGTGAGAATATGTTAACTAACATCTGTTTGGTAAACTATTTTCATGCATATGGGGAGGTTTGTATTCTTAAAAAAATATGAAGCATGTTTGATATTGTTTCTGAGAGCGCTCGTAACACAATATGAAGGTTTGCTCATTAATTATTTTATTGATATCTTAAAGGACATGGCATGCTGACTCGACGGAAATAAAGTATTTTTGGATGGTATTGGATGGAATGATCGATTTGGGATTTGGTATTCATCCGAAAGACAACAATATTTTCTAGAGACAATCTGAACATTGAAAGTGAAACTGCTCTCGGCTCTTGCCTTCCTCGTCCTCTCCAACAACAGCGTCCAGAAAGCAGCACCCGCTTGGAAACAATGGAAACCAATGACCGCGCGACATCTTCTAATCCGCTTCAGGAGTTGGATTGGATTCCCAAACTCGTCCATCGTCGCTGTTCCCACTCCAGAACGTCACTCAAAAAGAAACAAAAACTTTATAATCCCGTTTTCTGTTTCACGTACTCTGGCAAACACAAATCAAATGAGACGAATTTCTATCCGGCATTGTTCGCACCAATACCATCCAAAATCAAGAACATGTACCAACTAACTATATCATCGCCCCCCCCTCCAACCCTCTACTTCCCATTCCAAGTCCTTTCAGTTCTTAACGATTTCCCCTGCTTTTCTTCCCAAAGAAGAAGAACAGGGGAAAATAGGGATATAACAATGGGCTCCTCTGGTTTCTCCCCTGTTTTATCATCAACCCTCATTACCCTTCTCCTCGTATGTTCCACCTCCTATGGCGCTCCCACCCACCATCCCAACAAGAGAATTCACATCCACCACCGCGTTTCCAGCCACAATTACAAGGAAGCCCTGACCAAGTCGATCCTCTTCTTTGAAGGACAGAGGTCCGGGAAGCTGCCCCGCACCCAGAGGATGAAGTGGAGGGGAAACTCCGGCTTGTCCGACGGATCGGCTGCCAACGTGAACCTCGTCGGAGGGTACTACGACGCAGGGGACAATGTGAAGTTCGGTTTCCCGATGGCTTTCACCACCACAATGCTGTCTTGGAGCGTGATCGAGTTCGGCGGGATGATGAAGGGGGAATTGCCCCACGCCAAACAAGCCATTCGTTGGGCGACAGATTACTTGCTCAAAGCCACTGCAAAACCCGATACCATTTACGTCCAGGTCGGTGTTGTCTTGTGTTTTTTCTAATCACATCATGGACTCTCTGTTCAAGTATGTTTAGTTTTTGTCATTTTTTTTTTCTAGCAAACAATTATGTTCTTCGGCTTGCAAAGCGGATGACTAACCGACGAAGTAGAAGTGAACCTTGCGTGCAACTGTGTTCTATAATGAAAGTGACTTTGCCCTAATTGAAAATGTGAGCTAGTAATTAAACAAGACCAACAATCACATCTTCAACCTTTCTAACCCGATTACGCTACTTCTTCTCACTAGGTCGGAGATGCCAACCGCGACCATGCGTGTTGGGAAAGACCGGAGGACATGGACACGACTCGAACGGTCTACAAAATCGACAGGAACACCCCTGGCTCCGAAGTCGCGGGCGAAACAGCAGCAGCTCTCGCGGCGGCGTCCATGGTGTTCAGAAAGAGCAACCCTTCCTACTCCAAACTCCTGTTGAGCAGAGCAATGAGAGTGTTCCATTTCGCGGACACGTACCGTGGATCCTACAGCAGCGGCGGGCTACGAAACGTGGTTTGCCCCTTCTACTGCTCCTTCTCAGGTTATCAGGACGAACTGCTCTGGGCCGCAGGTTGGCTCCACAAGGCCACAAAACTTCCGTCCTACCTCAGCTATGTCAAATCCAACGCGCGCAACCTTGGAGCCGATGAATACGACAACATCTTCGGTTGGGACAACAAACACGCGGGCGCCCGAATTCTCCTCTCCCGCTCCTTCCTCCTCAGCAAAATTTCCGACTTCGAGGACTTCAAGGACCACTCGGACAACTTCGTATGCTCAATTATACCCGGCGTGCCTTCCTATTCCTCTCAGTACACTCCTGGAGGTCTTCTGTTCAAATTGAAAGAGTACAATTTGCAATATGTGACCTCGACTTCATTCTTGCTGCTAACTTATGCCAAGTACTTGGCCCTTTCGGGCAAGTCGGTGGAGTGTGGTGGGAGCGTGATTCGGGCTGGAAAGCTGAGGTCAATTGCAAAGAGACAGGTGGATTATTTGCTTGGAGAGAATCCTCTCAACATGTCTTACATGGTTGGATATGGGAAGAAGTACCCACAAAGGATACACCATAGAGGTTCGTCTTTGCCATCGGTTCGGGTTCACCCGAGTCGGATTCCGTGCTCCTCCGGATTCCAGATGATGTATTCTCAGTCGCCCAACCCGAACGTGTTGGTGGGTGCGGTTGTGGGCGGGCCGGATCAGGGCGATAGGTTCCCGGATCAGAGGAACGATTATGACCATTCCGAGCCAGCAACTTATATCAATGCACCGTTGGTTGGGACATTGGCTTACCTTGCCCACATATTTGGGCAAATATGATTTTTGGTTGATTAACATCGGGTATATGCACCACTTTTTTGGGTTTATACGTCAAGGATCTAATATATAGTTTTGGTACGTCAGGGTCGGAATGCATCGAGTAACATTTTGATGTGTGCTGCTCGCTTTTTCTAATGTTTCACCTTGGTTGTCACTCAACGGAAAGACCAACATTTACTACGGTTGATATTGTGAGAATGTTTGAAGGTGGCATTGAGATTAATATCTATATACCGCGAACATGAATTTTGGTTATGAGTATGTTCCACAAATATAATTTACTGTGAATTTGGGAGGACAGTGCATTTCATTTATTTCTATTCGCACACATCCTCGCCTGTCAAATCATTAAGTTGACTCTAACGTGCCATATATATTCATTTTAGTTTATACGAAAACACACAATCATTTATACATAAGTTCCAAAATTCTCAGGGGGACGAGAACTCTTGAAAGTCTGTTTTGTAGCTCCTCCCATGCTCTCACTCATCCAACATCACCAAGTAATGTTCCACCTCAGATCATGTAAGGATTTATTCCAATTACAAGTTTACAACTTACTTGTATAGGTTCTCCAAGATTCTCCAAACTGCTATAAAGTCGGGAAAGAAAAATTCAAAATTACATTTTGACATCCATATAGACAAGCATGTCACACAATCTGTTGATCCTCAACTAACCTCTTTTTTTTCTTTTTTTCTTTAACAGAATCCAACTAAATAAGCTACCTAGTACCTCTTAGCCCAAAACACATAGTTAACCAGGTTCACCGAGTTCAAAACACAAAGAACCGCATAAAACAGGTCCAACCGGTTCCGGTTCAGGTCGTGCCCGCCCAGCCACTCGTCCCCAAACCGGCCCGAGATCTTGTTCGTTAACGTCACAAGAAGCGAGCTGAGAAAAAAGCCCATCGAAGTAGAGGCCCAAGCCAACGCCGTACACATGCTCCTCATGCTGTTTGGCGCCTGAGAGTAGAAGAACTCGAGCATCCCTCCAAGAGTCAACATATCGGACACCCCTAGGAATAGAAACTGCCAGCTGAGCCAAAAAACCGACAGCCTCGTCGAGTCGTCGACCGAGGCTGCCGATCGCCTCTCGACCTCGACGGCTGCAGCCACAGCCATCGAGGCCGAGGCGAGGGCCAGGCCCAGGCCTATCCTCTTGAGCGGGCGGTAAATCTTGAGCCACGCCGTGGCTCGAGATGACTTGACGACGTACTCGTAGAACGGGATGGAGGACAATATGACGACGAGCGAGAAAACCGACAGCGACTGCGTCGGGATTAGGAATCCGCCGCGGAGTTTCCTGTCCATGACGCTTCCTTGCTCCACGGAGAATGTCTGGAGCTGGGCAAGGCAGCAGCTCATCATGATTGTGCTGCCGAAGATTGGGAGCAGCCGGAGAAAGGACCTTGTTTCCTCCACCTCCGGGCTGGTTACGGTGCCATCAACCGTCGCTTTGTCGAGGAACCTGGAAACGATTATTCAGAGTAATTGGGATTATGACACGATGTATATGATCAGAAATTGTGAAATATGCTTTAGACATATTGATGATATGGTATGGTCGTAACAAGTTTATATATAAAAATGTGGGTTTATGCGTGTACGGACTTGCCTGAACTTTTTGCTCATGTCTCCGGCAGCTTCATCGTTGGCAACTACATGGGAGGCTCTCCAATTACGAACTGCCGAACACAAGACCTATAGGAAAGTTGAGCAAGATTGAAAGATTGATTATGACCTATGGAATTCGTTAGATCGTCCTTAAGAACTCGTGTTTTCTCTCATGGGTGCGTATGAAATATCAAGTGTTGGAACTAAATTCTAATACGGTATGGCAAAATTTTTCCTTCTTGTATCGAAGAAAAGTTTCAAGAAATGCCACAACTAGCAATATGGCAAGGAAAGGCAGAATATGTGGTTAAAATCAGACACATGATCACTAGCTAGATTCGAATAATCAGGGTCTGTCACATCACAGAATCTACAACCTTTCAAGCATTTGCAAAAAAAAAAAAAAAAAAATGGAGTAGAAGTTTAGACAATGCAGGGCATATATATTACACCAAAAAAAAAAAAATGATATAACGATGTGTGAATCACTACAAATAAATAGTTATGCTAGGTTGACTTGGTCGAAAATTCAAGCAAAACCTTGTAGATCGACGGAGAACTCGATCAATTGATTAGTAGATTCAGTTTACCAATACAGTAACGATGCGTTAGATGTGATATGATGCATTCATAAATTCGGCAGCCCTAGATTATTATTTTCATCATTATAATTAGTTATTATTATAAGGAGTCCGTGGAGTAAGGGCCAAGTAATTGTGGCCGTGGGTTTTGGTGTTCGGCTAGGGTTAGTATTAGTTTTAAGGTTACTTCTTTGCTATATATATATATATATATATATATATATATATACACTACTTGTTGCTCCATTCGTATAATCAGTCAATCAATAAACAAGTTTTTAGAAAAACAATGTCTCTTTCCTCTAAGTTTTTATTTTAATCTCAATCTCTCTAAAAGCCTAGGCCGATTCTCAACGTATACGATGCTTGCACCGACAACGACAATGCATCATGATATCTTTTTTAAGGCATAGCATATGGATGGGCATGAAGTATTGAAGATTAAATTATTTAAAACCAAAATGCTTAGACAAACAAAAACAAGCGTGTATACCTTGAGGATTCTTGTTATTGGGCTTCCGGTGGGCCGTCTGAACCGATAGATGGGGAACCCACTTGCGAAAACGCAGAGCGCGGAGCCCAAAGCAATGAGCGACAGCCTCAACCCCCACTTCCAGCCCAGATTCTCCTGGACCCATATCATGAAAGTCGACGCCATCAGGCCTCCAATGCAGAGCGAAAAGAAGAACCAGTTGAAGAAGGCGGAGATACGGCCCTGGTTCCCATGGTCCAGCTGATCAGCGCCGTGGGCCGGCAGGGAAGCCTTGATCCCGCCGAATCCCACCGCAATCGCGTACAACCCGCCGTACAGGATGGCCGCCTGAGAAGCCGAGGGAGTTTCGTTTGTCGGCGGCTGGAGCCGGCTCTGCTCGGCTTGGATGGTCAGCAGCATGATTCCCTGCACGTGAGCCGCCAAGCCGTCCTCCATTAATTAAATTAAATAAGTAAATAGAGTGATAATTAATTAATTGTATATTACCAGGAGCTCGGTGGTGCAGGAAGCGATGAAGGTCCAGAACCTGTTGAGGAAAGAGTCGGTGACGAAGCCGCCGACAACGGTGAGGAGGAAGGAGGTGGCCATGAAATTGGTGACCATGTTGGCGGCGTGGGCGGTGGAGTAGTGCATTGACTTTATGAAATACGACACGAAATTCGTGGCGTTGGACAGGAACACCATGTTCTCCAGCGCCTCCACAACTATTATTCACACGCCGAGTTCCACGCCAAAAACGCACATTTGCAGACGCAGTTAATAATGATAGGCTTAAATTAAGTAAACGTACTAACGCAGTTTAGGAAGAAAGAAAAAGAAAGGGATTTAGAGAGCTTGAAGCAAGCAGCTATAGCTAGTCATGACAACAAAACCCGAACTCACGGGTAGCTATCAGATCGAATTCGGTAAGTGCGAGTAAAATTCGTGTTGACGGGTTTTGGGCCGGGTTGGGGTTTAAACCCGTTAATTGTTTACCGGGTTGGGTTTGGGTTTAGGTAAACCCGCCCCATGGGTACCCGCCCACACCCGTATAATTCATTTTCTCGGTATATTTAATATTCTAAACAACTAATCTTATTTATGTTTGTGGAGACATGAATAATTTTTTTTTTCTTTCTAATTGTGTAGAATGAAGTTGATGTTATCGAGTGGAGAGTGAAGAAACTTAATTGACAAGGAGGAAGAAGCTTTCAATTAATCATGTTATTTATGTATAATTTGTGATTTGCTTCAATTTTCTTGAGTTTTCTAGATTGGTGTTGAACAATTTGTATATTTAATTTGTGATTTGCTTGAATATTCTAGAATGGTGTTTTATATATTGATAATTCGTATTGAGAGATTGATATTTGACTTTAATTTTGATAGGAACTTGTTATTGTAAATTTTTTACGACAAAAACCCTTGGGTACCGATGAACCCGCAGATACTCAACGGATTGGGTTGAGTTTGAGTTTTTCGAACCCAGTTGATTTTATCCCGGATTTTTTCCGGATAAACCCACGAGTTTGGGTTTGGCAAAACCCGACCCAACCCAATCCATTGTATTAGCTAGTTGCTTGAAGAGTTGAAGCCAATACAAATCAGACAAAACAGATATATATATCAAGAATAAAGACCTATAATAATTATCTAACTTAGAAAGGGGGAAAAAATACGAGAATTGCAGAGAGATAGATACCATACCACAGGTAAAGGCGGCGGCGGAAACCCCGCCGTGCTTCTTAGGATTGGCCGTGTGCCCTCTCCAGTCCACGTAGTTCTCTTCTTCCCTTCCCGCTTCCATTTCCGCCTGCACCCAACAAAGAAAGTTTCCCGTTCTTTAATTTTCTATGCATGTGTGTATGTATGTGGTAGAATCATCAAGAAAGTTTTTTGTTTGCACCCACCATATGATCGTCTCTCTTCTTTTCCTAATTATATAACGCAAGCAACCCGGCCGGCCGGCCCCTTGTTTTTTTTTTCGTAGAGAGAGGAGAATTAACGTTGTGATGTGATTTGAAGAGGGTTGGGGTTGGGATGCATGAACCAAAAGCAAAGGTGGGCGGAAAAAGGAAGCAATGAGAGTGAGTGAAAGAAAGGGGCGATGAAATCCAAGAGAGGAGAAGAGTAGAGAAAGGAAAGGAGTCAGTCAGTCATAAATGACCAGAAATGGACACAATAGTGGTGGGTGGCCGGAGAGCGAGAGTGCTTTTAATGGAAGCTTGAGAAAAAAACAGGGGGCGGAAGGCAGGCAGGCAGGCTTTGGTAACTGCTCTCCACGCACACTTGCTATAACCTCATCAGCAAGCTGTGTCAACCTATTCCTGCTGGCTTCGGCGCCTCTCTCTCTCTCTCTCTCTGGCTGGCGTTATGAGTTATATAAGTAACTCCCCCGCTATTTCCTGCCTGTTTTACACTTGGCGTGATCCATTATATCATTCTCTACTTTATTCATGAGCTTTGCCAGCCTTGGATCTATCTACTAGTAAACTCTAATTTGCCAACGGATACATGAATTCAATTGGATTTGAATTAACTGAATTGGATTAATTGGATAATTAAGTGGATGGATTGGATTTGTGAATTGCCACCTCTAATCCATTTCAACCAAACTTAATTAAGGAAGACGTTAATGACGATAGATTAAGCGACTCGGAAATTCAAGCTAAAATCTGCTAACTCAAAACCAAAAGGATTGTTCTTTTTAACAATAGTTCAATTTCGTTATCAATATACAAATGCACATTTCACGGAATGGAAAATCGATAATGTAAAAAAGTAAGGAACACTTTTTTTTGTGTGTGTGTGAAAAGAACACACATATTTACGAGATGTGTTAGTTAATCCACGAGCAAAAAAGATCAGTTTCACTATATTTGAGGAGACATAGATTACAGTGATTTGGGAAGAGGTGATAATGTTTTTGTATCTTGTTAAGAATACATAAAATATCCTAAAATATCAACTAGACAAACACATTCATTCATTCAAACCCTAAATATCCATATATACACGGTAAACCCTAAAACTAGGGTTTTGGGTTCAGAACCCCTAGGACCTTAGAGGACAACTCCATAAAGAAGGGAAGAAGATACATGGTAGAAATAGAAGAAGACTTGGGGTTGAATAAGATGCATTCTTGCTCCTAGCTCCTCCTTCTCCTTCTCTTTCTCTTTCTCTTCTCCTTCCTATAGCTTCTCTCTCTAAAACTAGAAAATTTCTCTCAAAATCGGCTCTCTTCAAAAGGGGAAAGCGGTCTTGTCTTTATAGGCATTCTGGACTCGGGAAAGTTCACGTCGGGAGGTAAGGAGATCGCGCGCTGGATCTTTGGTCTCTGGGCCGTGATCTGAAATCCAGGCCTTCGGGAAGGGGGAGATCGAAAGCTGACTTCGCGGTCACAATCCACTAGTCGAGGCCACGATCTTCCTCGCAGGCAAGATGAACATTGGCCATGACGCGACTAGGGAAACTCTATGCTTCTCCAAGGCTCCTTCCACGCGAAGTTCGCGCCCTGGGCCTCCAAGATTGTTGTCGCGATCTATGGCTTCTAGGCCGCGATCTTCAGCTGGCCTTCGTGGCTTGTGATCCCCCGAACGTGATCTTCGGCTTCTAGGCCACGATTTTCAGTTCCTGCCCATTCTCTACACTTGTAACCTTGTTTTGTACCTAATTCGCACATATCAACTAATACACCCTAAAATCACATCGAAATCAAATAGGAACGCAAACGTATTTGACGATATGCAAGCATTTAAACACATGAATTGGCTTAAAACACACCTAGATATGTAGGATAAATAACACCAAGTTTGGTGTTATCAAACTCTCCCACACTTAGGCGTTTGCTTGTCCCCGACCGAATCATTGCCATAGGAATGCCTTCCTAGATAGAACCCAAGATGAAACCTTAGTGTGGACGGTGGGTAGTACTCATTGAAAGGAGCTATGAGCTTAATGTATCATATACGATAGCCTAGATCGAGGTAACTTTACATGGGTTTAGGGGAGGCGTACTCGGAGGTGTGTGGATAACCATGAAAGCCCACGGAAAAGAGCTCACTCACCACATTCGATGAACCCTAAGTATCTAGACATTGCATAGTAGTCCTAGGATAGGATGAGGGATAGTTCCCCGAAGTTGCTTTTTTATCTTTATTTACTCTCTTAACTAGTAGTTCGCTGATATCCTCCAACAAAAACCCTTAAACTGATCGGCTAGCTAACAACAACGTGGGAAGTAGGCTATGGTACAACGAACCGAATGAATACGATCTTGATTGACACTATACGACAACAACATTTTAGGTTAAAATTGGCCTAGGATGGGGTAGTTGTTGACACGTGCTAACCACTGACAATAATCTGCACTGATTTATGCACATATGTATCGATCATCAGCCACAGTAAACACGCGATCGCCCGCCGAATTCGGGTCATACTTGAGCATCACACTGTAGACCCCCACCTCAACTGAAGATATTCTGGAGATATGCGAGAATAAGAGTTTCCACCCTATAAAATCTCTCTAGACAACCTTATCGAAAGGGCTATAAATAGACCCCTTCGGCCACCAATAAAAGACAAATCTTTACAGGCGATTACTATTCCGACATAGCAACTCACCAAAACCATAATAGATCAACGGGATCAGTTGATAGAATGGTGGCAAAAATGTGCACCATAGGCATCATTTATGTTATTAGGTCGCCATTTCACACGAGCTAGGTATTCTATCTCTATCTAGACCATGAATTAAGTGGAGGTTGGGGTATGATACTAACCCTAATCTCTAATGGATAACCCTCATGCACCGACTCACTACACTGAAACCCAAAAATCAATTTAATAAAAACATAATGGTCGATGATTCTGATTCATCATATTACAATGAAGTACATCAAACGGACATATCATTTGGATTATGGTACACTATTGGAGTATACTAGTTGTTACCATATATGTGTGTGTGTGGCTACTTCGGTGCGCTCGCTTGAATTCACACAACTCTAAAAGTGGCCATAATACATCAAATTTTGAATTTTAATTTGTAGGATTAGTGAAATATGAAGATATAACATATAACTACAACTAATCAATCCATTACCCTAACCCTCTAACCTTCAATTTTGAATCCCAACTCAAAATCCCAAATTGTAAACCTAAATCCTAACCCTAAATCCCTAAACCCTAAATCATTCAAATTAAAGTAAATCTTGAATGATTTTTGTAGAAATTCATTTTTTTATTGTCCATCATACCACAAGTGATGATTAACATCATTTTCACATGAATAGCCTACTCTGAATGGCGATTATGAAGCAAGTGCATTGAATGCACCCAAAAAAGTAAGTGCATCGAGGACAAAACCATATATATGGTGGCTTCTATCATACCTTGAGTAAAATCAAAGGTACAAAATACCATTATAACAACCCCATGATTCTATACCCTAACCCTTAATGAGTGAACCCTATGTCTTAATTATCTAAATCATAAACCCTAAACACCAAATGGTGCACATAATGTGTTGCATGTATTTCAACAAATCATGAACATCGACTATTATTTTTAATGTCTAATTAAATTGATCTTATTATATGTGATTTATCAAATTAAGGCCCAACTTTTAATCTTTAAGGTTTAGAGTATTGTACTAAGTCCCAACTTTGGTCAATTCAAGATTTAGATATTATTTTCTTATTCAAAGTATATCATACCTTGATTTTAATCAAGCTATAATAGAATCATCCATATATATATATGGGGAGTTCTATGGTACCCATGGTGAAATTCATGGTACCGCATACCTTGAGTAAGAAAACGATATCCAGAACCTGAATTGACTGATCTTTCGGACATGATACTATAATCTAACCCTTAAAGATCAAAATCTAGGTCTTAATTCTCTAAATCTTATTCGCCAAGATCAATTTAATTAGAAATAATAATCGACAGTTATGATTCGTCCAAATATAGGCAAAAAAATCAATGCACAATCTTAGGGTTTATAATTTAGATTTAGATAATTAGGACCTAGGGTTCACTCATTGAGGGGTAGGGTATAGTATCATGCCCAAAAAAGCCCTTATTATTTGTGCATCGAATGTAATACACGTGCAACAATAACCTATGCTACGCAACATAAAATATGCAATTAATTGGCTGACAAATGTGTCTCCCAAATCCCTCTCCAAAGGAGGAATCCATTGTAGGTAGGTAGATGGAAGGATAAGGAAGCATAGTGAGTGAAGAAAATCTGTGTGGACACTCTCAATCACTTATGTATATGTCACTTATCAATATGGAGTGAGTCTAAGGAACTCAAGGGAAAGCTCAACAATACGGGCTCCTCAACCCCTAGTATCCATTTTTAAACACATGCAATGAAATTCCTATTGAATTAGTAGTGGGGACGAAAGGTCTAGAGAGAATACAATCATGATTACCTGCTAGATGTATTTGACCCGTGTTCTATATCAGATCACTTTGTCTTTACAATCACCCTTGATTTTTTTTGGATAGGTTCTCTTTTTACAAAACTATTCAAAAATTCACAATCCTCAACCACATTCATTACTTAGTTGATTATGAGTACTCCCCTAGCTACTTCTGGCATTCTGCATTCTCTTCACCAATCAACTTCAGGTAAAATTTTACAACCACTTTTCCCACTTCTTTAACAATTGTTACCTCATGTCGTTGTTCATCTTTGAGCTAAGATTTTTTTTTTTCTTGCGGGTTTTAGTCCTCACTGCCTTATGAAAGAATGCAGTATTCATGTCTCCGTCTTGTATCCATTTAGTACAAGTTTTTACTTATAGTACATCTGTTCGGATTTATATATTTCCCTCCATAGTTGAGCGAGTTACCCCTCCTTTTTTTCTAAAAATTATGCTATTAGATTTTCTAACACAACAAATTGTGCTTGTTCAGATTAGGCCTCTACCTCTCTACCCTAAGTTGAAATATCTGCATAAATCTCTTTGTTTAAAGTTTTAAGCTGTAAATTTTCTTGTCTTAGTTTGGCATAAAATAAATAATGAGGATGCCCTAAACCAAGATTTTCAAATGAGATCCAAATAGGAATGATGTTGAGCCCATAACTTGAAATACTAAATGGCTTTGGTAAACTCTCCACTTGAGGAGTAAGGTGAAAAATATTCCACAATGATGAGAAACACTTCGGGAATATGTCTGAGCTGAACTTTTTGGGAATAATTCTAACCATGCTTCATTCACTAATAATCTATCCAACCTTTTTTAAATTCGATTCTCCTTTTGCTTGTTCCACCAAGTGAACCAAGACTCTAAAACTTTAGGATCAATCAAGTTCATCCCTTCAATCCATATCCTAAACTCCAACATACTATATCTCAAACTCACCAAGTTTGAAGCTCTGTGATCTCCATCGCAACATTAAAAATCCCCCACTATTGTCAAGGGAATATGATGCTCTTATAGAGGTAAGAATCTCCTATATAAACTGTCGCTCTCATGCTCTTTATTGGGGCTATACACAAACAGCAAAAACACTAGGATTAGACCATCAACCTAAACTTTAAAGTAGTGCTCTCCCTCAGTAATCCGAGTAACATTTATACCAAGTCTCCAAAACAACCAGACATGTCCAATTTTTAATTTTGATAGTTACTTATGTGTTTCCAAGTAGAAAAGTAGAATTTTTATTCTATCACTATTTCCTATAAAAACTTTTCTCTTTAGTATAACTATCATATTTGTCTTCAGTATTCGCAACTTTCTTAGCACAATAGTGTGCTTGTTAATCCCCTGATAATCAAACAAAATACTCTCATTTACCTTTCCTCGTCCCTTTGCCTCTACCTTTTGGAGGTGGAGGAGGAGGAGCAACTGAACGACGAACTATGAAAGGCCTAAGAACAAATTTCTATAGGGTAGAGAGCAGTCATGTCCAAAAAGATGAACCCAAAGAACAAATTGGAGGGACATGACAATACTCAACATCTACAAACATCTCCTGGAGGAGGAGGAACTGAATGACGAACTATGAAAGTCCCACGAGAAGATAGCAATCATGTCCAAATAGACAACACAAAGAACAAATTGTAGGAACATGACAATACTTGACATCCATAAACATCTGTGGCGGGCCATCAAAATTAACACTCAGATTGTGTACTAGTTTAGTCTTTGCATTAATTACTACACAAACCTTTAGAACCCCTACCCCCCCCCCCCCCCCCCCCCCCCCCTCTCCCACGCGATTTTAGGATAACTAATACAAATAGATATGGCCAATTAGCTTGCAATATATACGCCCGATTCTTTCATTCGTTACTATCTCAGCCAACAAATTTTGGCAATTGAAACCATAATGGGCCAATTGAATACCAAAGTTTAACTTATGAAGGTACATCATGTTCTCTCGGTCAAATTGACCCACATCTACTTTTGAAAACTAGAACGAACTAATCTCCAAGACACAAAAGCCTTATTATTTTATCTTGCCCCAAAATCCATTTTTGTAAGAAATGAATTGAAGAAAGAGATGCCAATTGATCAAGAAATTGACCCAATGCTTTCCCCATCGTCGATTACCTTGTTAGGGATATGCAACAAACCATTTATGATTTATAGCTCATAATATTTTAGCTTATTGTCTGGGTTCATTATCAACAAAGATGCTCAGGTGCGCTTATTACTAACGGTACTTGGGGAGGCCTCGTTGGTAATAATTGTCATTTGCAAAACAAAAAAAAAACATCAAGCACGTCAAGAAAGAAACGAAGAGAGAGAAAAGTTCTCCAAGCGTCAACAAAAAATATATAATAATAATAATTCACTGATATGTACAATGAAATTTTTTTAGACGTCTGAGAAATATCAGAAAACGACAAAATTCTGAGCATCATGACGTGGAGGTGGGTTTTCCCTTTTATTTTCTCCTTCTTCTTCTACTTCTCCTCCGCGATTCTTTTCTTGCTCACCATTGCCGTCACCTACTTTAACCAATTCCTCCTTCTGCATTTCTCTGCCGCCATTGACGCTAAATACTCTCTCGACAAAAGACTCCACGTCAATGCTCTTATTAAAAAAATTGCCCTCCTTCTTGTCGCCCCATACACTTGGTGGTATGTACGGAGGCCGCGATACTTCCACCACTGAATCCCAATCCAGTCCTTTGAAGAACTCGTGACTCTTGATTTCCTCCACCGTGATCCTCTCCCTTGGATCCTTCACCAAAAGCTTCCCGATCAAGTCCCTTAGCGGATTTGGTTCTCCGACAAGCTCTGGCGGCTGGGTCAAGATTCGGTAGAATGTGTCCTTCCGGTTTGTCCCCCGGAATGGAGTTCGTCTGTACAACATCTCATACATCACCACCCCTAGAGACCACCAATCCACCGCAAAATCGTGGCCGTACCCTTGGATGACCTCCGGCGCCACGTATTCCTCTGTCCCGACGAATGAATTTGATTTCCCTGATAGCGACATTGAGTGTTGACGACACTCCGACGGAAGACATCGATTTCCAGAGTCGTCGCTAAATTCCTCCAACATAATCCCCGAAGAGCACTTGTAGAAGAGCTGTAAACTTAATGCTCGTTTCCGTTGGGTGGATGAGTTGGACCTCGCCGCAATGGCGGGGAGCTTCGTCGTCTTAGATTTACGAGGAGGAGTTGGAGGAGGAGGGAGCTCGGTCGAGAGGTCGAAGTCGACGAGCATAATGTGGCCGTTCTCTTGAATCAAAATGTTCTCCGGCTTCAAGTCTCTATAGGCAATGCCGGAGTTGTGGAGGTATTCCAATGCCAAAACCAATTCTGCCGCATAAAATCTGTCAAAAGCAAAAGATTCGATCAATTGATGAATTCGTTCAACATTCAAATTTGAATTTCAAATTTCAAATTCGTCCGCATAATAAATAAATAATTGACCTGATAATGCCTTGTGAGAAGATATTCTCTGTCTGTTTCTTGCGCAGCTGGTTAAGGTCGCGGCCTGGGCAATAATCAATGGCGTACGCAATAATCTTGTCCGTGCTTAGAATGCCATGGAGCCGAGGCAGAAGGGGGTGCTTGAAGCGGCTGAGGACTCGTTGCTCCAACCAGATCCGCTTGTATTCGCTCCCATCCTTGGCGTTGGTGACAGCGGGGTTCTTCCTCTTTACTAAATCACGGAGGATAACTTTGAGAGCCCATGACTCGCCGAAAGGATGATTCCTTACTAGAAATGCGACGCCTTTTGCCCCACGGCCGACCGGAGAGATCACGATGAGATCGTCGAGATCAAGGATGGGGACAACGGTCTCATTGTGATTGGCACGATCGTTCATGGCGGCCGGCCGCTGGGAGGAAGGCGGTTTGGAGTTTTTTGTTGGGATTTTTGTTGGCTAGGTTTGAATTGAAAGGAGGTGAGGAATTAGAGGGAAACCAGGTTTTTTTTTTACAATTTCTTTTTTTGTATTTTTAAATTGTGAAAAATAAAATTGGGTGTCGCAGGTGGATTAGCGATGAGATAGGAATGATGTTGTAATTCTGAAAAGCAAGAAAAAAAATGTGGTTGTTTGGTTAGCTTGTTTGTTTGTTGAAATGGAGGAGATAAGACGACAATAATAATATAAGGGGAAGGAAATGAGGAAAGGGGTCGGCCGAGGGGGGGAAGTGGTGGTTTGATTGTGCCCTTGGCTTATCGAACAAGGAAGGATTCATTCGAGGGAGTTGCCTAATTGCTCATACACCATGCCTATTGCCAGCAACACAATTTTTTCCCCCGCAAAGTCAGTTGTTATAAAATCAGACATACAAAGAAAATAAAAAGAGCACAGGAGTCGACCAATAGTCGAACTCCCGATGAGAGGACCTTTTATGCCACAAGATGGACAGCCCTATTGAGACAGCGGAGAACAAAACAGTAAGAAACCCAACTACAGAGAAAGCCGAGCTCTGAGCATCCTGCAAGATAGTTTCATCCTGATCATGAGCCAAGTCACCTGTATGAGGAAGTCCCACCGATAACGGGAGCTCTTCTGCGTGCCTCTACAAAAAAAAAAACACACACACACACACAAGCGTCCCCACTGAAGGCAACTAAGCTCCACCAAATGAACTTAAACAAGCCATAAGGCTTAGTCGGATACACCGAAACCAAAACTATGTCAAATTAAAAAAAATTATTTTTATTTTTTTAAGAATAGTTAAAGAAAAACAAAAAAAACAAAATGGTCGAAATTGACAAATAAAATGAATAAAAGGGAGGGTAAGTATCAAAAGAAAATAAATAAAAATTACTAATAAATAATGAAAGACAAGCATAGCGGTTAATTAAAAAGATAAAGAAAATAAAAAAATGACTAAATTGCAATAATGTAAAAAAAGAAACTGAGGAGTCTGTTTGAGTTACTTACCTGGAGCAGTTACGCCATTCCAAAAGGTGGAAAATTGTAATTAATTAAGAAACCACGAAAACCTTTCAACTTTCCTAAACTAAGAAAATACTAAATGACAAAAAAGTAAATACTATTACCAAAAAACTAAGTAAATGCTAAATTAATAAAAAACAATAGTAACGTAAATCTTTTAACTTCTCTGAACCAATACACCGCCGAGCCGCCGCCGGTGACTCCGAAGTCTAACCAAGCCTGCGACTTGTCGCCGACGACGACCATGAACGAGTTCCTGTTGCAGTAAGGTTGTTCTCTAGCCATAACCACCGCTCCCAAATTTCACCTCCTTTCTCTGTCCATTGCTTCCACCATCCTCTCGACTTCTTCCTTCCTTCTCCTCTCCACTCTCCCCAGCCGCCACCTCCTTCCGCCGCCGTGCCTATCCGCAACATGCTTCCAATTCGTCACCACACACGCCGCCTTCTCCGCTGTCGTCGTCCCTCCTCTCTCCACAATTCGCAGGTTGTGAAGATCCCGCAGGGCCACCGGAAGGGGATCCGTCACCAGCAACACAAATATTTTCTACGTATGAATTTTTCATTTTTTGATACATATACATACTAGCTTTTGTCTGGGCCAATAGCCATGCAATTTTCTATACTATTATTATTATAAATTTGAAGTTATATTTAAATATATTTTGGATCTCCAAATTTTGTTTTGCTTTTGTAATATATACTTTATGAATATTTAATTTTCTCGTTCACAATCTGAATACATGGTTATCAAAAATTAATCCAAAATAGACTAATTTTCCAACTAACATTCAATACATAATACAATAAGTTTTGTCTTTAACATAATGAATGCATATTTATAAGTGAATATACTCAATTCTTAGCTTAGATATATTGAATATTGAGTGAATCTTTTATAAACATATGTAGAAAAATCTAATTATTTAATTATCATGTCAATCACATTAATATGATTGCCCTGTCTTTGTCTCCGGCCTCGTGCCGATTGTACGATTTTCATGCCTAGGTTGGTTCCAAGATGTAACTTGTGAGCTTTATTTGATCAATATGATTATCTTTTGTCAAAAAAAAAAAAATGACTGCCCCCTTAATGATACAAAATGTACTTTCACCAATAGTTTGACTATTTGTCGACCACCATGTATTGTTTCTTAGTAGTTTGTAACTATATATATTTAAAATTGCTATCTATGAAAAAAACTATTTACTATCGACTAGTGCTTTTGATGGAGGTTTTTGAAAAAAGTTATTGTTATTTTAATGAAATGATAATTTATCAACCTTTGGTATAGGTTCTTATGTAACAGTTTATGAGCTAAAATATTCGAATTGATTATCTTATATAATTTACGCAAATCAATGATTGATGCTTTGACTAATGTAAACCAGGATAATCAAATTGATTTTTTTAAAATTGGAGAAACTCTTTCAACTTAGATAATATACGCAATGGTGGAGCCACTTGAGAACAAGTGAGGTCCTTTGCACCACCTTGACCGACAAAAATGTAGTAGTTTATTTTTTTTATTTGATTTTGCATTGAACACAAAATCTCCGTGTTATTGTAAAAACTTTATGATAAAATAATATTTTTGATCTCTGTTTAACTTCTAATTAATATATTTTTTAATTTAGTTAAATATAAATGAAAATGCAATACTTAGTGGCGTATGTTGCTACAAGTTCTCATTGTAAGGGTCTGAAAGAGTATTTATTACAATAAATAAATATGAAGAAATCGTTCAAAATCCAATGAGTGATGAAATTGGGAATGATTTTCAGTTGGGTACCTTAAGAAGACATTCCTCATAATTTGTATGATGAAAACATTTTTAAAAACTTTTCAAAATATGAAAACACTTCAACACATTTTGAAACTTACTTTATAATTTTTTCTACACATTGATCCTTCCTTAGATGAATTTCTGGCTACGCCGCTGAATATATGCTATGAATTCGAATTCATATGTGCCCTTTCAGTAATAAATTAGTAATTTAGAAATTAATTTGTAGTTCAAATTTGGAAATACTTATTAAAATTATGCCATTCTTGTAATTTTATCATGGACCTATTTCTCCATCTATGTTTTCAGATTTGCAGACATTGTTCCACTTAAGTGTGGGGGAAACATAGATGATTCTTAAGGATATATTGGAAGTTCGAATGTGATTAGATTAACGGATTTATGGTTTTTTTGCATGTTATTGTTTTCACTTCTTTTGTAGGATTACTTACAATCACAAGGATATGGCTCGAGGAGAGAGTTCCAAGAATATAGAAAATTCCAATCCTCCTTGTCTCCGCCATTTTTCTAAAAAGGAGAAGAGTAAATCCTGTATGAAGGATGTGAATATTGAAGAACCAAATCCACAACAACAACCAACTTTGGAACAATCTCAAGAAGATCAGCAAGGGAATCAAAGTAGCCCAATAGTTGGAATGGAACACCTCACTCATGCATTCCTGGACAATATTCCCGAGCAATTTAAATCCAATCTCTTATTTCTCCAAGATCTTCTTCAAGGCAAAAACATGTGCCTCAACTGGATCCTTTTTGCTTAGCTCAGGATAGAAGAAGTCATCTTTTCCAATATACAGAAATTGGAGTGGCTAAAACTGCTAAGCATTCAAGAAACATCTACAGGGTACTCGTTCTGGAATTCATTAGTATAGTCATAATTCGAGATGTTTGAGGTGTCGTCGATATCCCGAACAACATTGAATTCAGACTAGGCAGAGAACATCACCATATGGCGATCCGAGAGTTTACTAGAGCAATGGATGTTTACCCTGCGGATTTCATTGACTCACCAGAAAATTTTACTATATTGACTTGGGAATCTGAATTTTCATTTAGCCAATTGTGAGAACCAAGCCTCCAAATTAGGTACCTCGACACTGTTCCAACACTTAACCAAATTTTGCCTATTTTCTTTCCAACCTTGATAGCTTCTTTGACAAGTAATAAAAACGTGTATAGTTGGCCATTTGAGATCATATCAGATGCAGTCGAGGAATCCAATTGACATTAAGCTGAGGAGTTGTCTGCCCATTACCAATCTACCATCATAGCCCCTACACCAACAATTGTCGGTCGTAAAGGATACTTTGCCAACCCCAAGAAGGACGAGAGCGCCCAGTAGCACTAAGGAAAGTCCAGTTGGAAAATATATCCCTTTATAAACCTAGCCCAAGAGGGAGTTGGGTTTGTTAAGGATACGCCAGCCAAACTTAGATAAAAGTGTCTAGTTAAAATTCTCAAATCGGCAAAATCCCATGCCTCCTCATGCTTACTCCTGCACATGTTTCGCTAGGACATCCATCATATCTTCGATTGAGCGTCTTCCACACCCCACTAGAATCTGGCAACATGTTTGTCCAAGAGATGTGAGAAAGAGAAAGAGAGAGAGGTAACTTGAAGCAGGACATAACATGCAATGCTAAAGCTAAAGCGACTGATTTAATCAAAGTCTTCTTCACTGCCCAAGACAGTGTCTGCTGCTTCCACCTCTAAAACCGACCTAGCAACTTCTCCTCCAAATACCGGAACATAGCCATTTTCGATTTGGCTATCAGAGTAGGCAACCCTAGATATTTATCTTAGACTCTCACAGCCCCGTCACCCAGAATCTGAGCCAGGAAATCTTGGTCCGATAGAGCGATATTCTTACTAAAGCATACTACCGATTTAGCCAGGTTAACCCTTTGGCCACCTAGTTCCTCATATTTATTTAACACCTCGATTAAATTTTCACATTCCGGTAGAGAACCTCGAAGGAATAAATAAGAGATATCTGTAAAAAATAGATGCAAGATCCGAGGAGTTCTAGGGGATACTTTGACCCCTTCTAGTTTTCCTTCCGAAATGTCTTTTTGAAGGAGTGCCGCAAACCCCTTTTGTGCAAATAAAAAACATGAGAGGATAGAGCGAACCCCCTTTGTCATAGTCCTCTAGAGGGAGTGAAGAATCCCGAAGGTGTGCCATTCATAAGGATAGTAAACAAAGTTGATTTTATACATTCTTGTATCCAGCCTCTCCAGGTGGAGTTAAAAACCCATCTTGTTCAAAACCGCAAGGAGAAAAGGCCATTCGACTCTATCATAGGTCTTTTCCATGTCAACCTTAAGAGCAATGTACCCTTTCTTTTCCCGCGTTTTGATTTTCAAGTAGTGCATCAACACATGCCCAAGACGGACATTCTCCACTATTTGGCGTTCATGGATGAATGCATTTTGATCTTTCGAAATTACATGTGGCAATAGGCAGACAAGTCTTTCACACATGATTTTGGTTATAACTTTATAGACAAATTGGCATAAGCTAATTGGTCTGGTTTGTCTCATGGTCTCAACATTATCCACTTTCTCGATCAGCGTCAACTAAGTATGATTAAAGCTACGGATTATCCTGCGGTAAAGAACTAGCAGACCGCTTCAATCACAAAATTTGCGACAATATTCCAGAAGGCTTTGAAAAACTTTCTCGTGAAACCACCCGACCCTGGTACCTGTTTCAAACCCATGGAGAAGACAATTTTCCGGACTTCGCTAGGAAGGACTTCTGTCTTAAGACTGGCATTCATTTCATCTGTGACACGACATGCTATAGGAAGATCGACAACCCGTTCTTCCATGTTCAGCACCTTGTTTTCCGAGGTGAAGAGAGTTTGATAAAAATCTATGGCAATGTCAGCCTTTCCTCTCACCACAGTGATCTACTCATAGTGATGGCAATGGGTTGGGGCAGGGCGGGTAACTCAATACCATGCTCTGCCCCACCGCCCCGACCCACTCTTATATGCTATTTGAGTAAAATACAAGTACACCTTTGCACAACCCATAAGTACACTTCGCGGGAGGATCGAGGGTGAACCAGTCATCCTAGAGTTGTTTGAGTATAATGAAACACATTCAGTTTTTCTTGTCGCAGGTTAGTGATCTCGCGATGCAGCTTATAAGGACGAGGAAGATTGCCAGTGCTGAAGCGCTCTTGTAATTCATCCCAAATCTCTTTGGTCGTAAAACCAAAATTGATGCTAGTACGAATGTCCCAAGTCATTGCGCTGTGAAGCCAGCCGACAAATATGGCGTGGCAGTGTGTCCAAGCATTGAGTAACTCGCCCAACTGTGGTCTCGGAGCGGTGCCAAGAACTAAAGCAAGCATATTTTTAGCAATCAAAGCATTAGAGATTTCAGCGGACCACTCACCGTAGTTGAGATCGTTGAGTAGATGGCCGACAAAGACTTGGTTGGGTGCGTCCGATGGGTGAAGATAGAGAGGCGACGTCAGACCGATGACGTCAAAAGAAGGGGGGGAAGAACGTCCTTCCCTTCTTAACTGGAGGAGTGAGTAGCCATGTTTCTTGCAGAAGTCGAAGATCAAGGCGACAACAAGACCGAGTGACACTAGAGAAGAAGCAAACCCTAACAAATTGTGGTTAGCTCTGATGCCATGTAGAAAACGATAACGCGAAATCAAAGAACAATGTAACACGAAGAGTTTTAGGTGGTATCCTCAAGCGAGATGAACGAGACTAATCCACGGTGAGCTCGAATGAGCTCATGGCTGACATATCATTTATGTTTTTCTGATTACAGAAGGGTACATACATCAAGTAGCTACACACCTTAAATAGAAAAGAAAGACGGAACGCTATTTCTTGGGGAACAATTGACTTACCGACCAAAGGAATAAAGACTCCTAAGCAAAACCGCAATAAAAGGAGAATCGAAGAGTTCATTTGAAGATGGAGAGAGATTTTACAAGCTTCAAGAAAAAGCTCCAACACGCAGGCGAATAACTCAAC